AGGTAACGTTTATAAATTGTTTCTACATTTTATTATATGCACATATTATATTCATGTTATTAAATTTTAAAACTATGTGCAGGTGAACTGGATGCCTTTCGGCCCGAACCCTAGTGTTAGGGTACCCAGGACCCTGTACACAGGACTCATTCAGTATCGTGAGATCGCCGAGGCGTACATGCCCCAGCGTTGTCTTCGCCAGCTTGGATTTGTCCAAGTTGTCCCTCCTCCCCCGGCATGCCCGATGAAGGCGGTCCGACCTGCATCGTCGAGAGACTACGTCGTGCAATGGCCGGATATCATGACTGGGACGTGGGACCAGTTTTCGATGGTGGCCCGCTTATGGACTGCGGAGTTGCAGTGGCCGCCCTCTGGGGTTCCTCCCATGTGTGACCACTACTACATGGAATGGTTCAACCGGTATTCGCACCCGAGGTTGATCGCAGATCTCGACCACAGCGATGATGATTATGTGCCACCGCCTATTGCCATGGAAGCGGTATGTCTCATATTATATTTATCGTTGTTCTTTAATTAAATTTTATATGTTGTTATTGTATTTCATCTTTTATTTTTTGTTGTATGTAGTGGATGGGAAAGATAATGCAGGACGTACAGAAACTATCTCTGGAGAAGGACAACATGAGTGCAACAGTGAGAGCTGCTGTTGATAGTCTGGAACAGACCCTTGCACATTGGGAGTCGGCGTCGAGGAGGGATTACTGATGGTTTTGTCATTTTATTTATAGAGCACTTTAAATATTATCGTTTTAATTTATTAAATTGGACATTATGTTGTAAGTTTGTAACATTTTAGATTGTTCTTTTAGCTTTCAACTTAGACATATTATCATTGTTGTTTTTAAATTTTGACATAAACGTTCGTGGATCTGCGCAACTTACCCATGCAACATATAGAATGCAGTAAGAAATACAATATAAAAAATTAATGTTCTCATTAAAAGAGCAACGTACAAATAAGATTACATAGGAAGAATGTAAACATGAAAAACTAAAATGCAGCTAGGGTGTTCCATTCGTGGATCCGATCATGATATAGCGCATCCCAACCCTCTACGCTCGCTGTGCAAATGGTGTACCACCGAGGTATAATCGGTGGCACTGGAAAATCGGATGACATGTCTAGTCGGATGAAATGTCTGTATGACGACCCAAGAAACGCAATAGCTACCTCTCTGACCGGTGTGGTGACAGTCTCACGCGAACGCCAAGGGAGAACCGTGGTACAAGGATAATAAGCTTGACTATGCAATCCCAGGCCGAAATGCATGACTGCGCACTTGTAAATGTTTGCAACGGCAAACAGATCTAGGGGCGCGTCAAAATAATGATTTTGGCCGCAAGGTCCACCTCCCCACCGGATACGCCACAGAGCGCCATCCAATTCATCCTGGTACACATGACGATAAACATTTCGGTTAGAGGCAATTTCGCTGTACATCAATTGACGCACCAAACCGTAGTTGTCTTCGCCCATTTGAAAACATCAGCCACGACCCGGAATCCGCAGTTACCATCTACGACTACATCATTCCACCCTTCCAAGTACGGCATGATGATCGCAGGTATCCTGTCCTTGTACGGAAACTGATGAACATCGTTTCTTCCTATTCACCATATAATTAAACACAGTTAAGAAGGCAGGAGTAACCTTATAAACAATGTGCAATGTAAAAAACCAAAACGTACCAGTTCTCAGGGGCATATTCACAGACGATGAAGATTGACTACGACTAGATGACGATGTCTGACCACGAGCACGAGCACGACCAAGACCACGGATATACTCAAACGCACTCCTGTTCCGCCGTTGTCGACCTCGAGGACGGTCAAATCCTTCGGGTTCCTCATAATCTAAGGTAGACGTGTGGAACATGTCATGAAGTACATGAGTAGCGTCACGAATAATAGAAGGATGGCTGGAGGACACTCGGTCGTACATCGAACGAAAATGCTCCAACTCCTCCTGTTCACGGTCGGCCGTTTGAGTATCTGCATGCTCACCAATAACGAGCGTCCGCCAGAATGAATGGACCTGATCAACATGTAACGACGCCCTTTCTTCTGTAATAACGCGGTGAATGGTGCATGCGCAAGGTAATCCATGAGTTACTGAAATAGCACACCCACACCGAGCATACACTTCGTCAGCCAAGTCCCTCATCTTGTTCAGCTCAGTGAGAATCAACCCCAAGCAGTAGTGCGACACACGACCATGGAGAATCTTAAATATGAAATGGTTATACATCGTACCATGTCGTCGTCTGGAGTCCTCTAGAGAGTTCCTGATGCCGTTCTTCTGAGTTTCAATGGACTTGTTAAGTCTATCGAACAGTGTATCCAAAGCAGCGGTCGATGAATCAATCCAGTCCTTGGTAGCTCTATGAGCGCTCTCAACTCTGCATGTTGTAGTGTTCCCGAAATGAAGTACCTGGTTTGTCCAATATTTGACAAACTTTTCCCTGTGAGGGACCCATTGCTGCATCACATAGTCCACCAGTGCCGGACACCACTGGTACGAATCCCTGAAGTTAGCTAATTCTCGCTCGTACGCTTCCTCTGTGGTAGCCTGTAGGATCTTCCGCCACTTACCATTCACCAATCTCTCTGCCATTTCCAAATTCTTCTTGAAAAGGTTGTAGGCTTTCACTTTCACGCAGTTGTTGATGTGCCATGTGCACAATAAGTGCTTCGATTCTAGAAACAGCTCTGCTATGGGGGTAAAGAGACCTCCCTCACAGTCGCTGACGATGGCTGCTGGATGAACATTAGGCCCGATGTAGTTTCTCAGATTCTCCAAGACCCAATAATAACTTGGAGCCGTCTCATCCTTGATGATTGCATGACCAATCAGAAAGTTCTGGTTCGTTGGAGTCATCCCCATGATCTCAACCAGTGGGAACTTGTACTTGTTTGTCTTGTACGTTGAGTCGATCAAAATCACAAATGGCCAAGACTTGATCATATCAGCACAATTAGGATGCACAAGGAAAAGATGAGTCACCTCCGCTGTATCTTCATCAGAATCAAACCAGAACAGGTAACCACGTGATTGTGCCTGGTGTAGCAGCTGCTGTATAGGGTTCCTTCCCTCTGACCGTTCAAACCTGAGTTGCTGTCTGACGTTGTAGATGTGTCTTCGGTTTGGATGGTCTTCTGGAAATTTCTCTAACACATATGCTAATATTTTAGCAGGCTTGACTTGAGCATCACTCATTTCTTTCACAACTAGTTTCGCAGCAGGACTTAAGCCGCTCAGCTGTCGATGACCCTCTTCATATACTATCATCTCATGGTTGTGATACCCCCATTTAGAGTAACCAATCACTTCCCAACCGTCACGACTCCGTAGTTGTCGGACCTTTACTCTGAACTCACACCCACAACCTTTCCGCTTTGTATCAAACCGAGTGGCTGTACGAAAATCTCTTTCTTCTCTTTTGCGATAACGGTCACATCTCAAAATGCGATCTATTCTACCATCCCGTTGAGATTTATGAGTTACTACTACCAAGCAAAATCCAGCTGCAATTGCAACCTGTTTTGCCCAATCAATCGATTGTTGAGCTTCTTCGAATGGACCATCATGTCCAAATATCCCACTGTAATCATTTCCGTCTCCACCATAATCTTGCATCAATTATATATTATAATAAATACATTTAACGGATAATACATTTAATTTCTATATTTACACAGAATTAACAAAAAAAAAAACATAATTATGTATAATATTATTCATACACATACACATACAAATTTTAAACACAATCATTTATAAAAGTCACATAAACAATTTGCAATTTTTTTTAATACAATTTCGAATTGTCAAACTTAATTTTAGAAAAAAACCTTTCTCAACAATCAAACTTAATTTTTAAAAAAACCCAATTCGAATTTTCAAACTAAATTTAAAAAAATACCATTTCGAATTGTCAAACTTAATTTTAGAAAAAAACCTTTATCAACAATCAAACTTAATTTTTAAAAAAACCCAATTCGAATTTTCAAACTAAATTTTAAAAAATACCATTTCGAATTTTCAAACTTAATTTTAAAAAAACCTATTTCGAATTTTCAAAATTAATTTAAAAAAAACCCATTTCGAATTATTTAAAAAAATCATTTTCGATTTTAAAAAAAAAAAATAAAAAACAACAACAAAATCAAAAAAGAAAAAAACAAAAAAAAAAAAAAGAAAAAAAATATAAAGGTGGCGTCTGCCAGGGCCGCCACAGCCACTGGACTGGCGCCTGGCAGGGCCGCCTCAGCCAGTAGAGTGGCGCCTGGCCAGGACGCCAGTCTGGTGGTCTGGGCGTCTGAGCTGGACGCCACTGTGGTGGTTCTGGCGTCTGGCTTGGACGTCCATGCTACGGTTAGGGCGTCCATCCTAGGCGCCGGAGCCATTCCTACGGTAAACCGTGAATTTTAACGGTGACTTACCTCGTTTTCCGTCGACGACAACGTACCTCCGGCGTCCCCAGCATCTCCGGCCTGCCCTCCGGTCTCCCCCGGCGAGCCAGTACGGCTCCACATTTTTTAAACCGAGATTTGTTCAATTTTAGAAAATGGGCATAATGGTCACACCAAGTCATATTTGTGGGCTTTATATGGTAATTTGCGGGCGATGTTTAGCGATTCACATAGTATCTCGGCTTCCCACTAATTTTATTGTAGGTTGTAGGACTTTGTCTGTTTTTGAGCTATATGCGATAATAATAATAATAATAATAATAATAATAATAATAATAATAATAATAATAAAATCTGCTCTGTTCTGCTGAAATCTGATCTGCTCTGCCCTGTCAGAAGCTTAAAAGAACCGGGCCTAGATTAGTTAAAACTCTTAAGAGGAGATACTCGAGACCTAGGATCAAAATCCGTCTATAACTCTATATCATTTACCCTTGCGCCCCTCTTAAGATTGCCATATTTCAATCATTGGTTGGATAATTTAGAAACATACTTGTAGGTGGACATTGTATTGCGGAATTGAGTAATATAATAGGGATAACCATGGATATAACTTAGATCCAACGACTGTCATTATACTTCTGTTTTCATATTTTTTCCTTCAAAAAAACAAACAAAAAAAATTCACTAGTACTCTGCACCGCGCTCTCTTCCATTGAAGCGTGCTCTTAATTTTCCATTGAAGCAACTTTCGAGGTATTTTTTTTTTTCTTTCGCGTAATTATCGAATTTAATAGTCAATTTAATCAATTTAGGGTTTATCGTTAATTAATAGTCAATTTAATCAATTTAGGGTTCTTCTAAGGAAAAATATGGAATTATTGTTTATAATTACAAAGTTATGAAATTTATAACGAGCGATTTTGTTGCAAGAATTTTGTTACATGCAATTTACTCTGATAGCAGAACTTCTGTATATTGTTAATTGTTTATAAATTGTTTTTATTTATCGTTGTTTGATTGTGAATTTGTGATTGATACTGTTTGTTTTTTGATGCTAAATCATCTTGTCAACTTCTTTAATGGTTTACTGGAAGGTGTTTTGGATTATTTTTTGAAGTTAGGTTTTTGATTTTTATATATTGTTGATTATCAAAGGTAGAGAATATGGCAATTTCTGATGATGAGATGGAGGAGTTGCCGGAGTCAGTCACAAATTATTACTTTATTGATGATGGTGAGGAACCGATTTCATTTTCGGTTCTTCCTGTCAACTGGAATTCAAGTGAGACCGAGCAGGGGCCGGGAAGCCCGATATACGTGCGTGGTAATGCTGATGGTGGGCTGGATAAAATCTTTAAGCCTGTGAAAGCTTGGAAGTTTGATTGCTCTGGAGTAAAACCGGAGATATCGGTTCTTTCTAAGGACAACAACTGGATCAAACTTCAAAAGCCTAGGCAAAGTTATGAGGAATATATTAGGACGGTGTTGATAACCGTGAATTTTCTTCATGTTGTAAAACGAAAACCAGAATGGACTTGGACGCGTGTGAGGAATAAGTTATCGGATATTTTCTGGTATTTAATGGTAAATAGGACATTCCTTCTGCTTGCATTTATAGAAATATAGTTTCTCACCCTCTCTTTGGATTTGTAGCTTGTATGATAACATCCCTTCTACAAAAGACCTCGCTCATAATAGGGCTTTGATTGAGCAAGCTGTGAAGCATGACGAATCATTAAAAACATCAAAGGTACGTCAGTCTCATGACACTCTCATTGTCTGTATCAACCTGATGTGTATATATATATATATATATATATATATATATATATATATATATATGTATCTGTTTTTTTTTTGTCTGATAGTTAGCTTTTACATTCCTTTGACCTGGCTGTCTGATACTTTGTGATTATTTTCTTTTGACCGGGTGATGGCTTATTGCACATAAAAGAATTTCTGTTTTCTGTCCCTTGTCTGCAACACATGTTCCTTTGTTTTGGCTGATATGCGTTTAGAGAAGATGCTTTGGTTAAAGATTTGGTTTATTTTATAGAATTAAAATATTCTAATGATGTGAAACTCATGTTACAGCTTATAAATCAGTTTTCCATCATTACACAGGGATTTTACCAATTCAAAAATGATACCAATTTGTTCTTTTTGTTGATGTGTAAATTGTTTGCTTCGTCATTATTGTTTGGGTTTTCTTTATTTCATGTGAACATAATTATCCGTAAAACTGGTTTTATCATCCTGGATTACAAAAATGTAGTTCTAAGATGATGGGAAAGGAGGGTTAATCCTTTGGTGATAGTAGTGTTAGTAATTAGTGATCTCACAAAGCCAAAATTTAGGCAACCTGTGGAAGAATGGAAGGTATTGCTGTACTGGTGATGACAAGGAGTTATTGCAGGTTGTGCTGGTGGGTATTTTTTGGGGATGGGTTTGAAAAGAGGGAGGGCGGTGGTGGTGGATTGGTTGAGGTGAGGCAAAAGAAATTGAAGGGTGGTAGTGGGGCAAGCGTTGGGGTAAGGTTGTCAAGTAAGAGAAAGGGAAAGGGAGTGTCAATTGTATCACTGGTGCATATATGGGATTTTTGATATGACAAAAAAGTTACAGGGAGGTCAAGGAAAGTTGAGGAATCTGGTGACTGTGGGCCTGTGGCTGGGAAATGTTTGACTTATATGGATTTGGGAAATTAAGCGAGGAATAAAATATGTGGGAAATTTTTATTATGGATGAAATCTCGGGGATTGCAGTTTGTGAAGAAAATGGATGTTCGTGGGAGGGGTAAGGGCTGAGTTGGCTGGTGAGTGAGGGAGAAAGTCAAAAGGGAGTGTAACTGTGGCTAGGGGGAGGGAGTGTGGGGTTTATGGAAGAAAGGAGGTGTCAATGGGTGATTGTCTGATTGAGAGGAGAGAATGATGGTTTGAAAGTGGTGGGTATAGGGAAGCAAAGATTTATCTTAACTTCTTAAGGATGGATGTGGTTAATGAATTGTGGAAGGATTGTGAAAGAAAGCGGGAAGCAATGGATTATCAGTGAGGAGAAATTGAGAAAACAAAGTTGAAGAAAAAATTGCATATCTTAGAATTTTGTGACCAAACAACTTAATTAATGTTTTTCCTTGTCTCTTTGGTTACAGTTCAATTGTTCTTTCTATATTGCTAATATTCTGCAATACTTTTCTCTGTTTGCCTCCTTTCATACTTGTAGGCCACTGACTAGATGTAACACCAATTAATTTTTTGCTAGTTACTCGAGGACCCGGGGCTTCTATTATAAGACTTGTGAAAATTATACTATGAATGTGCTTTGCAGCATTCTCTGTTCACATTGTCTATACGCTATACTTTGATCTGCCTTTGTGATCAAATACATGTATAATGGTTCTAGTTTACGTTATTTGTTATCATTTTTATGTCATGTATTCTTTAGTCTAATATCAAAGAATGGCTCTGGACAGTGCTTAATGGCATTTCTTGAGAGAAACCCGCAGAAGAAGCATAAAACTGACGAGGTTTGTTGATTTAATATCTAGTATTTTGTATATGTTTTTGTTCTATGTTATTTTTCTATTGAAGTGGCATCATAGCACATTTTGCTGATGCGGGCCCGTTGTTGGTCACACAGAATGTTTTAGCTAAAGGAAAAAGTGAGTTTGTGGTTAGTGATGATGATTGTTCGTCAGATGATCTCGAGGATGGTTCTGGTGATGACGAAGTTGGTTCTGGTGATGAAGGTGGTTCGACTGATGAGGAAGACGATGAGCCTTTTGATTCAGTTTGTTCCTTATGTGACGAGGGAGGTCCCTTATTGTGGTATGTATATCATCTTGTATTTTATTGATCTTGGATTAATTTAATATTGGAAAGGAAAGGTTTACTGTTTTGAGGATGGGTCGTTGTGGTCTGGTCTGTACAGTGTCGGGATGGTGTACTGTATTACGTGGGAGGGGCTGACTGGTGAAAGAGGCTACATTTTATGTTATTTTTTTTTTCCTTTTCTTTCTCTCTTAAAATCTTTTGCAGTTTGTACCTATACAACTGCTATTTATTTAAATCCAAAGTAAGCAAGTCAATTTTTAATCATAGAGAATTCAGGGGCTGTTCGGTTGGGGTGATGTGTAAAGAGAAAGGGAGTTAGTTATCTCATTTCTCTGTTAGTGTTTGGTTTGCTTTTTTTTTTTTTTCTTCTTCTTTTCCCTTATATCTTTCTTCAACATTGTTTATTGAGTTCATCTCTAATCCCTTTATCATGATTCTCAAACCTGCTGAGACTTGGATTCCTCCAAATCTTACCAAGTGACCACCACCAGTGCACAACGGTAGCCCTCAAGTCATATACACAATTACCTCTGCTGTCAAATACCACCCAGCCCCACCACCTTGCCCTGCCAACCCCAACCCACTAAACTGGCAACACTCACACCCTTACCAACCTGCAACCACCCAACCCACTCCTTACCAACATGCAACCTCCCCACTCCTTAACAATATGCAACCTGCCCAACCCATCCCTACCAATCTGCAACCAGTACAGCCCCTCCCTTAACCCTACGTGTCTCACACCATCACTACCACCACAGCCACTTGAATCCACAACCAAACTAGAGTGAAGAGGTGGGTGTTGGGGGGAGGGGGATGTTAAGAGCAACCAACCTTTCCCTTCCGATCAAGGCCACCACGAATGACAACAATAGTTGTTGTCTAATCACTAGTTTCACCATCACCATTCAGATCTATACTTTGGCGACCGGACATAGTGTTTGGGCTTGGCGTTTGTGAGATGATGAGACAATTGTTTTTTAACAATAATGATTGGGCTTAGAGTGGTCAAAACGACTTGATGGCTTGACAAGAATCCCAAAATAAGTGGGTTTGGGTCAAGAATTCTTGACGTGTTTAAGTAATCTGGTCAACACAAAATTAAACGGGCTAGGTTTTGGTTGAAATATTCAACCCGAAATCGACACGCATAACACATTATATTAAAGGGTTGACCGTCAACCCAAACCCTACACGTTTAACTTGTTTATTAAAGTTGTCAAAAATAATTGATTAATTTATGCCAATCTTACTAACCCTCTAAACTGCATAATTGGTAGTATAAATATTTTAGTAAAAACTTTTAGCGGGCAAAGTTTTTTGGTTTGGGCGGACAAATTTTACTTTTCCAATTTTTTCGCAACTCTTCCTTCACCCTGACCTCCTATTGTAGGTTTTTTTTTAATTTTTAAAATGAAGTATTTTAATAGTCTTGCATGAGTTAATAAAGATAACTGGGTAACCCGTTTAATAAGCGGGTTAGGTTTGGGTTAAGGGTTTATCAACCTGTCTAATATTAACACAAACACAAATTGGACACAACACGACCCGTTTGATAGCCCCCTTGGGCATCTTGAATTGGTGTTGACTGTTGCAATTACTTTGAAAAAGTAGCAGTAGAGCAGCTAATTTCCTTTTTCTGTAATAACACCTATGATAAGGTAATTGTATTACTTTCATTAAGCGAACTGATAAAGTGATACAAGTTTCCTCTCTTTATTACTTTTCCCTCATTTTTCTTTCTTGACTTCTTACCCCTCATTTTCCTTTCTTTGTTCCTTTCCCTTATCATCGTGTGAACCAAATAGCCCCTTATGTAAATGCTGATAAATTTTAGCAAATTAGAATGATTGAATTGTTAGTGTCTGCTGATCCAGCTCCTGAATATGGATACTTTTACCCACATCTCTGAATGAAACATTCTTTATGTCATGTTCTTGGTTTATGACAAATAATACCACTACATGAATCTCACTGTTCTTGTGTAGAGGTTAAGAATTTATGGCATAAATTCATGGTGGTAAAAATTGATTACTTTGTGCTTAGCAATTGCTGTGACTTACATTTTCATGTAAGAAGCAAGCAACACATGCTGTACACTTTATGGTTTATGTTGTCACCTCAATGAATAAATAAATCTTGAAATTTTGCGTTGAGAAGAATATGTTGAGCCAAATTTCTTCCACGAGGGCTCATTTTACTTTCTTTTTATATATTGCTTTTTTTTTTGGTTTCTGTTCTTTTTCTGTGAAAATCATATGGCAGATTAGCAGTAGGAAGTGAATCAGTTTGATTTTAGTGTATAGCTGCTTGCATGATATTCCACTATGTAACATTTGTGAATTACAGCCTATGGATTGGGCCCTATGTAACATTTGTGAATTACAGCTTATGGATTGGGACACGATATACTTGAAACAATATATCTACGTTGATATGTCTATGGTTAGTTTAGATTTTGTTTGTTTCAATGCAGTTGTGAAGGAAGTTGCATGAGATCCTTTCATGCTACTCCAAGAGCTGGTAAACCGTCAAAATGCGTCTCTCTTGGTTTTACCGAGATGGAAGTGCAGGTGTGTTGCTTTTCATTTTTTATTCACATTGTCAAATGAATTACTAGCTTCTGCTTATCAAAATTAATGTCTGCACTTTTGGTGTTGTGTGGAACTTGATATGAAGTGTTACCTTGCAGGCTTTGCCTTATTTCAAGTGTCAAAATTGTCAGTATATGCAGCATCAATGCTTCGCCTGTGGGCAGTTAGGTTCTTCTGATAAACAGACTGGTGCTAAGGTATCAGCTCGATAAATTAAGATTTTGCTTCTTGCTCACCCTTTTCTGTTTATATGCTCATTTATATCTTTTCTATCTCTGGCTGTCCCTACATATTTTTCATAATTTTTGTGACTTAAATATATTGATGTACACAGCATGAGAGGGCTACTCTATTTTACAATGGAGTATAAGTGACTGGAAACAAGCTGTTTTTGATAGCTTTTCTAATGCTAATGTGGCCATTGTGTGGTTTCAGATTGAATTTGTTGGATGTGCACAGTTTGGTTTTCTTTATTTTCTAATATTATTTTAAATGAACAAGTTTGGTCTGAGTTCAACAAGAACCTTAAAATTTGGATGACTGGTTCCTCCGTTTTTATTTTACTCTCATCTTTTCTTCCATGTCTCATGAAACTTTTCTTCTGTATCTGAAACTTGAATACATGGTTGAGTCACATGTATCCACTATATGTAGAATTGAGTGTGCTGCATCAAAGTATACATTTTCTGTTTATATGGTCTTATGAATTCTCCAAGTGTGCAAATTGTCTCTACTATGGTGCCTTTATGAGTGTCAACTCTTTTTTTCCTAGGTGTTTCAATGTATTAAAGCAACCTGTGGATACTTTTATCATCCCCATTGTGTTGCAAAACGGCTACATGGGAATCATGAAGATGCTGCTAAAGAATTTGCAGAGAAGATCGGTTTGGGAGAGTCATTTACTTGCCCCCTTCATACTTGCTGTGTTTGTAAACAAGCGGAGGATAAGAGTAACCCTCAACTGCAGATGGCTGTTTGTAGACGTTGTCCAAAGGCATATCACAAAAAATGTTTACCCAGGTAAAATCTATTTTAAATTTTAGGTTCGCTTGCTTTTAGCACCAGTCCTTTTAGATTGTCCCTTGATTTTTTTATGTTACCTCTCACCAGGAAGATAGCTTTTGAAGAAGATGAAGATGCAGGCATTGAACAAAGGGCTTGGGAAGGCCTATTGGTAGACCGCATTTTGATATATTGTTTGTGAGTGAATTTAAAGCTCTGCTGCCAAGCTTTTATTTTTTGGATTGTATATATTTGTCACATTGTTACATAATTCTTTAAACAGCGACTAATTTTTTTTTTTTTTTTTTAAATGTTCTTTTTTTGCATCAGAAAGCATAAGATTAGGGATGATTTAGGGACTCCTTCAAGGGACCATATTATTTTTGCTGGTGTTACAAAGAAGGAGACAGGATCCTCTGTAGGAGTTTTGCAGGAAGATAAAGTTGCACTAAAAAAGGAAATTGCTTCTTTGAAGGCACCTTCTCCGGCTTTATCTGCCATTGCGTCTAAGAAAAAGACTGTTGAAGACATTGATTCCGATAAAAAGATTGAAAGAAGAGTTCCTAAATTGCAAAAAAGTAATTTATCCAAGAAGATAACGTGTGAAAAAAAATCTGGTTGGACAAACATTGATGGATCTTTTGCAGTTGAAGAACGCAAGTGTTTCAAGCCTTCCCAGACTGAGAAACTTGCAGTAGTTGAATCTTCTAAAACAAGTACATCTGCAGTGAACAGTTTTGTGCCAAAATTAGATTCTGATTCTGAAAGATGGTAACGTTTATTCCTAGTGTGAGATTTCTGAGTTTGGTTTCTCTAAATTAATTTGTTTTTTCTTTGTGCCGAGGAGTTTTTAAGTTCTATAACCAGCAGCTTAGCTAATTAAACTTCCACTGTGTATCTTATTTAGGTGATAATGTATGGTTTCATTATGCAGGATTCTCAATTTGATGAGTGAAGCTTCGTCTATAATCACTTTGGATGATATCATTGCAAAACATGAGAGTTTAATTTCTAGCCGTGTCTATAAGCGAAAAATGGATCCCTGTAAGAGTATTACACTGGGGAAAGTGCAAAACTCATGTGATGTATAATTCTTGACCCATTTTGAGAAGATTAAATTGACATTTGTTGTTGCTTTTCCCAGTGTGCCATTACATCCTGTAAGTTGGGTTGTGCTATTGACTGTTTGACACTGTATGTTTCATCTTTGTGTTGTATGTAGGCTGTTCGTGATGCCATTAAGAAACTAGATGGAGGAAGCAATATTGTAGATGTAAAAAAAGACTGTGAGCCATCAGTTTTAAACAATTTGATCAATTGGAAGGTAGTTTCCGTTGCTGTATTAAGCACTACTGCTATGCTATTTGATTTCATAGCTTATGAGGTTTTTGAGAGCTATTAGATATTTTACCATGCCATTCTACCAATCCACATTTCCACAAGTAAGGAGTGGTTGCCTTTTTTTATTTTGGTTGTGGGAAGTGAAAGTAGTTTCTTCCAGTGTTTCATTTTCTCTTTAGCTACAATCGCCACAACTTTCTGCAATGTTTTACATCCATGGTTATATTTAAAGTCTAGGTAGTTCAGCAAGAGTCTCTTCTGTCATATTTAAAGTCTAGGTAGTCCAAGATATTGAGCTGGACTACCTGGACTACCTTTGGTCCCATAATAATATAACTCCAAATTTTCGGTTTTTTATACTACTCCAAATTAGTAGCTGTTGGAAACTTGTTTTAAAGTATATATATTTAGGTCTAATTTTAATAGCCTAGTCAACAAGCTTGAGTAGTGAGCAACTGAGCATTGTGTAAAAGAGCTTATTATTGGAACCGTATTTCTCGCCCCTAAAGCTGGTTGACAAACACTCAAAAGTCAAATTCAGGATTTAAAACTGATCGAAGGTCTAAACTCTTCCTAAAAGTTACTCTCTGTTTCTTTTTACTTGATAAATATCTCATTTCACGCTTGTCAATGCAATATTTCTCTCACTTATATGTATTATATCAATATATAAAAATTTGATATGTTATGAAAGTAAGTGTTTCCCTAACTATAAATCATCAATACCAGTCAAATTAGATTATGTGAATAGTGCATAAGCCAAAGGTGTTGCAAGTAAAAAGAAACGGAGGAAGTATTAGTTTTGAAACCTTGCAATGAAAATATAAGGGCTCGTTCTGTAGTGTTGTAGTTTTCTGATTTTTGGTTTTTTTTTTTTTCAAAATCATATAATATATGTCATATAATGAATCAAAAATCGGTCAAACATATTAATATCATGATAATTTTTAAAATTGACAACAAAAAAGTAGAAACAACTTTTTCTAGTTGCTTGTTTTTGGTTTATTGTTTATTAATAAACAGAAATCTAAAAACAAAAAATATCACGAACAAGCCCTAAACTGGCTGATTGTGTTTTACATGCATGGTTCTTTATCCCTATAAAATTGAGGGATTATTTCCACTTTCCAGAATATACATTCAGTTTGATAAAAATGATGATACATCTTTAAATTGAAAGTGGCCGACTGTGTTTCCTGTTTCTTTTTCTTTCTTTTTTTCTTTTTTTTTTTTTTTGGGGGGGGGGTGAATATGGTAGGATTCAAATTGGAGGGAATCTATTATCTAGTATTAATCTATTGTAGCTTATAATTAAATCATATATGTTGAACACTTGCTATAATTGCCCCACTTCTCGTCATCACATGGGCTTCATTTTAGGAAGATTCAAATAATTGCAACATTACCCCCCTGGTCTCATCATCACATGGGTTTCATGTTGTAGTTATCGAATACCGAAGTATTTAGGAAGGTGATAGCAGTTATATCAGAGAAATAATAAATCTTTTGAAGCTGTGAGGACTTTAAGATAGTTCTATATTATTTGTGATTAAGATTGCATAAATTGTTTTACTTTTGGGTGTAGTTTAGTTGGCTACATATTATGAGCTACTCTGGTATAAAAAAAAGAAAAAAAGTGAACATTGATTGTATGCTGCATCCTTCTTGTTTGCAGGGCAAGCTCAGAGTTCACCTTGCTCCTTTCCTCTATGGTATGCGCTATACTTCGTATGGTCGTCATTTTACCAAGGTTGAAAAGCTAAAGGAGGTAAGCTGTTTTCAGATATTATTTACTCAGTGAGTGAGAATTATTTAGCACTTTATTTCTAAATGTTTTTATTGTGATTGTAATTCTACCACTTGTTTTCGTTGAATTTCAATTGCATGCCTTTTTTTTTTGGGTAAAAAAGTCATATTGGTGCTGGTGAATTACATTTCTATAAATTTTCTTGATTTAACTTGGAAATTTGCTAGAATCAAACTGGATCAGTAGGAAATTATGAGAATTATGCAGTAAATCAAGGAAGCAGTAAAATAGTAGAAAGCTGAATGTAATTAACACTTGCAAGTTATCACTCTTCGATGGGTGATAAACTGATAATTCCTTCTATACTCTGTCTCTACATTTTACATGCCTCTCTACTCCCGTATTACAGCTTTCCTTTATTATTATTACTTGTTACTGGCGTAGCAAAGCTTCTTTCTAACAAGCTCTTACAAAAAGACCTTGATACCCTCTAACAAACAGTGATATGAGCTAACATTATCCTTATCATGTACTCCCTCTGTCCCATTATTTTTGCCCCATTGTCATTTGTTGGGTCAAATTTTATAAATTTTGACCGTAAATTACCAATAATCTATAAAAGTTAATATAGTCACGAGTGATCTTGTTAGATTTGGCTAATTGCATATTTTATTAATATCACATTTTTATAATTTTTACGTGTATGGAAATGAAGATATGTGCGTTCTAAGACACATCTTGGAGAAATGAAGATATGTGCGTTCTAAGACACATCTTGGAGACCGTGAAAAGTCAAATGGGGCAAAAAAATAGGGACAGAGGGAGTATATCTAGTATTACACCATGGAGTTCTCCTGCTCCATGTAAAAAGCATAGGAGGTGTAGGGTGAGCCATAGCATATTCAAATAAGCTCTTGCTTATATTTCAGTTGCATAAGCTGCATTCAATTTCCAGTCTTTTTTTCATTAAAGAAAAGAAAGGCATTGCCTTTAAAGCTGTTAAAATATTATGTGTAGTTGCAAAAGATGCAAGGAAAGAAATAAGTTTATGGAATTGTAAAGAGATACTGACCTATTAATTTAATTTGCTTACCCTTGCATCCCATCTAGTTTGATGAATTTGGAATAATGAAAGTGTAAGTAATAAGTCTTAATAATTTTTCAGTAAGCAATGGAGTCAAAAAGTTGTAGTTGAAGTTTCTTTTCCATCCAATATGTTGGAGTGTTGTTTCCTCATAAACAAATCTGGGTTGGATGCAGGAGAAATTGAGATTTTTCTGATTTTTTTATTGAGGATATATATGTTCAGAAATTACATTTTTAATTTTTGGGATTCTCTGGTACAAGAAATGCCATCTTCATCATTACAATTAAAACTTTATGTTTTATTCAAAGTCTGTGATTCTACTAGTCATGCAAGAATGTCAAAATTCAAATGTGGAATAGATTGGGATGGATATGTTCTTGGTTCAGGTTTTAGGGTACTAGCTCTTTGGTCTCTAATACTTTTTCCAAGTGGGTGGTAAGGTAAGTTTTCAAAATTTTCAGGGCCTAAAGCAAAGGCCTGTGGGCTGTAGCCTTGTACTCTTTTAACCCCTAATTCCTGCCTGCATGACTACTACTTTTTATTTTTATTTTATTTTATTTTGTTTTTCATTTTTTTGGGTAATTCTGGCTTTGTATTGCTCAAGCTTCTAGTCAACTTCTGCCTTTTCTGGCAAAGTTATCCTTGTGTTCTGGTTTGTCATTGAAACCTTGTTCTGTGGAAATAATATGTACCATACCCTTGAATGAGCTTCTTATTATATTGATGTGCACATCTATGCATACAAGTTATGTTTGATGGTAAATAAGGTTATTTGAAGAATCTGCAATGTGATAGCATTAGCACTGTCTTGGATAAATTTTCTTTTGTAATTTGTGTTTTCTGTAATACAAGCAAAATCTCTGAAAGATTTTCTGAAAGCATCATTTCTGTATGCAGATTGCTGAATTACTTCATTGGTATGTTAACGATGATGACACGGTATGATTTTCTGTTGCTATTCACTCTTCCACTTTGTTTGTTATATACTTGGATCGTTTTTTTTTTTTTTAAAAAAATATATATATATTAAGCTTTAGTTAGAAGCAGTGTCTTTGTGCGCAACCTGTAATTGATAAGTGAGGTTAGCTTTATATTATTGGATGTACTAGGTCTTGTGAAAATCATTCATTAATATCAAGGTGATAGATCTTTTATCCTCAGTGCTTACCTCCATTTCCGAAAATTCGATTCTTTTACTGTAGACTCCTTTTTAAGAATAGTTTGGAGAAAGTGAGTGGTTGTGAGAAAAGTTGGGTATAAGTATGTGTGTGTGTGTGTAGGGAAGGGAGGGATGTGAATAGTGATGAAGTAGTGTTCTTATGTTGGGGGTTAAGAGGTATTGGACTATTGGTGATTCTCTGATTTGAGGGTATTGATTTAGCTGTGGAAATGTTAGTACTTGGCGCCTCAAATTTGCATGATCATTCTCAGGTAAAATAAGCTCGGATCACTTAAACCTGTTGTTAGTTATCGATGGAAGGTGTTACTAGGATTTGTAATGTGCAGTTTTCTTTTCAAATCAATAGCAATAGTTTGTAAAGATCTTGCATATCAGGTAGATATTATACAAGTTATATTTATTCTCTTGCAATTTTAGTGCTAAAACTGTATTTGTAGTTTGCAGTATTTACATGTTTAAGCTAGTTGATTTTCATGCTTGTTCTGCTATGTGCTGTAGCCTTTAGGTAGTGGGTATGTTTGGCTTCCCGTTACTTATTAAACTCTCGATGTAGTTCTTTCTTGAATTACTAATGCTTTGCTGTATGTTAAATATTTTGAACAGATAGTTGATTTCTGTTGTGGAGCTAATGATTTCAGCCGGCTTATGAAAGAAAAGCTTGAAACTAGAGGGAGAAAATGCAATTACAAAAATTATGATCTTTTCAGACCAAAGGTATTACATATTTTTTTCCTTGGCTATTTAAACTTGTATCAAGTGTTGGGATCGTGAGATGTAGGGGAAGACCTAAGAAAACCTGGAAGAAGGGTGATTGAGAGTGACATGGGTGGTTTGGTGATCAAGGAAATATGGTGTTGGATAGGGTAGTGTGGAGGAAGAAAATTCACGTCAACGACGTGTCGTGATTATGTATTTACTTTCTAAATTTATTTTTGTATTTAAAATTATTATTTTATCCCACTAATGATTTATGATTTATATTGATTTCCTTTTGCTAAAGTTTTCTCAAACCCTTATGTTTTTTTTTTTTACTCCAACGTTTTAACCATCCCTTTAAAACTTTCTCGAATTTCATTCTTGGTTCTCTTTTAAAACTCTCTTAATTTTTCTTGGATGCTCTTTCTTTTGCTCACTTTACTTACCTTTTTTGTAGACTTTCAAATCATTATCTTGTTATGCCCCTTTCTTTATGTCATACGGTTCCTTATGATGATTCATGTTAGCCGACCCTAAATCATTTTGGGACTAAGGCTTTGTTGTTGTTGTATCTAAACTTTTACCACTAAATAATTTTTTGCAGTCAGATGTTTAAGCATGTCATATATATTACTACATGTGAGACATATTAGCTGTAGTGATTTCATGAATTTTCCAATTGTATGACAAGATGAATTCTGAACCCATAATAACATGATCTCCACTTGCCAAACTTCTTATTCGAGGTTTACCCCTGTGGCTGGTTCATTAATCAGATCCAGAGCTGAACTTTGCTACCTTGATCTTAAGCGAAATTCCACTGGAGTGACCTGTGTTTTCAATATTTTCATGTTTGTGGATGAATGTATAATCACTTTGGTAATGTACTTGTTGTCCCTGTTAACCCCAGTGTTAAGTAATAAAAGCATTTCTTGAATTACTGACTATAAGTGACTCGTGTCTGGGTATTAAAGTTGACAAACTTACCTTCTGAATCCCTAAACAGTGTCTAAGGTGCTGAATCTTGCTTCAAACTCCACAAAACATCCCCTAACACATGTATCGGAAGACAGAGAGTGGCTAAGGTGCTGAATCTTGAATTACTGACTATAAGTGACTTGTGTCTGGGTATTAAAGTTGACAAACTTACCTTCTGAATCCCTAAACAGTGGCTAAGGTGCTGAATCTCGCTTCAAACCCCACAAAACATCCCCTAACACATGTATCGGAAGACAGAGAGTGAAACTAATTGGCATGCTAGGAAATATCTTGTTGGATTTTGGTGATTTTCATCCTCATATTAAATGTACAGATTTACTAGTGCCGTGTCAATTATTTTAAAAAGCGTTAATAACATACGGTTTTCATCTACTCACGTACTAGTGTAGTCTTCAATTTCTTCATTTGATTTATGTACACCATTCTTCTATAGGGGAGAGTTTGCTGGTGAAACTCCATCAAGTGGGATTATCTAAAATATTTGTGCTCCTTTTTTGCTTTCACATGAACTCTCTCATTTTAACCTTGCATTGTTTTCCACTTACTGCAGTTTTTGTAGACTTTGAGCAAATCACCCCCTTTGTTTCCAAATAGTTGATCATTTCTTAGTGCCCATAATTTTTGGAGACGAGTTGTGCTTCCTTCCCCATTGTTGTTTGAGACGTGATAGGAGATGAAGGGGTGTTTGAAGCGAGATCTGATTGTAATAGTTATAAGAGTATATTAAGATTTTGAAATGAGATATGATTGTTAATAAGTGTTTTGAGAATTGCTTTAGTCTTGTATTTTTTTTCTTTTACAGAACTCCTAAACTTTGCCAACTATTTGGCTAGCATATTTGAAAATTTGAGTGTAATGCAGAATAAGGGTTTTATCCTTTGTTAATCCATGAGTATTCTGTAGGTCTTAAGCTTATTGTTTCACCCCTGTTTCCCAAGAGGATAGTCTGTTAGATACTTAGTTTTGCGCCTAACCACCAACAATCAAATCGCCCACCACCTTGGATTCACTTAAAGATTTGAAGAGCCTCCAAGATTTTCATACCAAAAACCATCTGTTCCATAGTTTCTTTCATTGATTTATTGTGAAGTATATTTCAAGTGGACATGTAAATCACAGAGTAATATTTGGAGAGAATGGGAGGTATTACATGTTTTCTGTGTGGAATTAGAATTCAAGAAAAATCAAATAATAAAGAAAGCAAGCAAATAGTGGAGTGAGCAATGGAGATATGAGAGGGTGCAAGTAGAGGGGGATGCAGAAGAATAACTGTGAGGTAAATGCATTGAGGATAGTGTGGAGGAAAGAAACAAACGTACAAATAAGAACTAAAATAGCTGCCCCCTTTTCAAATGCAACAACAGGATGGACCATAGTTGTTTTTTGGTTTTGAACTGGTATCCTTGCCCCATTTCCGGGTGTGAGCAGAAGGTTGAGTTTGGCCAGTGGCATTTGCATGATAAATTAGCTTTACAAGGATGGAGTTAAGCATATGTACTTCCCGAGACGCTGTTTGGTTGAACCCTCTAATTTTCAGCCTGTGGTCCACTTGCAACTTCATTGTTCCTTTCAGCCTTCCCCCTTCATCATCTGTTTCCCTCCCTCAGTCTCTCCTTTTTGTTGATCCCTATGCCTTAATAAAATTGTCATGAATTTTCAAAGTCTCTTGCTCTTAATCTTGTCATCAGCTTATTGAATTGACCAAGGCTGTTATATTTCCTCTCATAGCTCATCCTGTTCTCTGATTTTTATCATGTTATATTTCCTCTCATGCTTGATATTTACAAGGCTGGTGATTCTAATGAATACTTGTACAGAATGATTTCTGCTTTGAGACAAGAGATTGGATGGATGTTCAACCTAATGAATTGCCAACGGGGTCGAAGTTGGTGAGAAATATTTTCATGAAAGATTTATCAGTTTGATACTTTGAGCCAATTATTATTCATCTTGGAAAATTTTCTCCTGCTTTGTTGTTAATGCTGGATCAGATTATGGGGCTAAATCCTCCTTTTGGGGTTAAAGCAAGCAAGGCAAACCAGTTCATAAACAAGGCCCTTCAATTTAAGCCAAAGCTCCTTATTCTTATTGTCCCCCCTGAAACAGAAAGGTATCGTTCAACTCCCCCCCCCCCCCCTCTCTCTCTCTCTCTCTCTCTCTGTGTGTGTGTGTGTGTGCTTAGCCGTGTTTTTGTGTGCTTAGGCTAGATAAAAAGAAACCTCCTTATGATTTGGTCTGGGAGGATAAAGATCAACTCTCTGGAAAGGTAATCTGAAATTTGTATGAATTCTCTATCTATTTACAGCTTTTTGTTGCATATTTTTTTGATGCCCCTTTTCCTTGCAGTCTTTCTATCTTCCCGGATCTGTTGACATAAATGACAAACAATTGGACGATTGGAATGTTGTGGCACCCGTCCTCTATCTTTGGAGTCGCCAAGATTGGACTGCTAAACATATGGAAATAGCAAAGAAGCATAATCATCCGCATGGACAGAAAAGAGAGTGAGCTGCAGTTATCCCATCTTTTTTACAATTCATTATCTGCCATTCCTACTTGTTAGATTTGTATGCTAACTGGATATCAGATATTGTGAAGTGGTTTTGTGTTATGGGGATTTTTAGTAGCTTGAGCTGTGCACCTGTGCTAATAATACCCAGTTTTAGTAAGCTGGTCAAATTGCATAAAAGTAGTGCAGTACAGATGAGTAGTTTTGTGATGCTCCTTGCCTTGTTTTTTAAACATAAAGGGGTTACCTTGTATTTTCTCTTTCCCTCTTGCCCAGTAGGCCTCTTCAGTAGCAAAAATTCTTTCTTTTGCTCTTACAATTAATTTACTGCGGCATATGGCAATTTTTTTTTACTGGTGTCTTAGATGAGGTGAGAGCCAGCCCATCAGTCTAAAAACTGTCCTTGCATCTTGAGGGTATGGGAGAGTAAGAAAACCTCCATTTATATCCTGCCAGTGTGGTGTTTTGGGTGGTGCGAAAACTTTAGGCCCTGTTTTATTTTACTTAACTGAATTTACTTTTGCTTTTTAAACTGGTTTTTACAGATTGTCAAGTGTTTCTTCAATATTTGTTGATTAAAACCTGTTTTTAGTGTATAGGGCCTCTGTGTAGTTTATTTAGCTAGTTGTCTTGGAATTATATGTCTTAAGCTATCAAATACTCCCTCTAACGAATAGAGCTATAAAATTTTGAAGACGTAAAGAAATATGCTTTAATTGATATTGCAAACTTGACTGTGACAAGTTGAATACTTTGTTCTTTCTGATAATTTTGAAGGATGAAGAATGCTTGTGTTTCACTTTCCTATGTCATTTTGTTTGTTAGGAACAACCCCACAAATAGGCTGGATCGTGATTTGTCATTCAAAAATCACGGTCAGAGTTCTATAGCAAAGGAGGCTGACAATGCTTCCCCACAAACTCATTCACCTGAAGGTCTGAAGGACAGAGCTGTTGGTGGAAAAGAAGATCTTAAGAAGCAATCTGCTCGCAAGGATCATAGTAAAGACAAACAAGTAAATGCTACCCCGATGAATAGCAAAAGTAAGAGGAAGAATGAAAAGAAAAAGAGGCGCTGTGAAATGATGCGTGTAGTTGGACGGCCTGTTGAGTCCTCTCAAGACTACAAACGTCAACGTTTTTCTCCAGATATTCCTCGCCATGAAGTGCCCCATCACTCTCCTTTTGATACAAGAGACAGAAGGGAACCCCACAATTTAAGGCATCATCCAGGATCTCCGAACTTTGAGCCTATCCATCACAAAGAGAGACGATTTTCCATGGAGAATCCAACTTCTATGTACAAGTCCCCTTCAAATGTAATGATTGGAGGCCCAGTTCATGATCATGATCACCCAGGGGCTACAAATTACAGAATTGGGAATCCTCACTGTCATGACACAGTGGCAAAGTACCATCCAAGAGGTGATGTTTATCCCAACGGGAGAGAAATATGGGATGAAGATGCAGGCCCCATTCCCAATTATCACCACCCTCGTGGATATGGAATGAACCAGTCTTACAGTGAAACTGCTGAACGGTTTGCAGCACCAACATACATGCCAGAACCATCTCTTTTCCATAACAGAGTGGATCACATGTCAGCTATAAATAAATATAGTGCTAGATTGGATGAACTGAGCCTTATGATGGGTGGTGGTGCTGGATTTGCTCATGGTCCTCCTGATATAGGCCCCAGGCCCACTGGTCCTCAATTCTACAATCATCATCCAGGTCCGAGGCATGAACATCCTGGCATTCCAATGGGCTTCATCCCAGGTTCTGCCAATCCTTACCATCCTCATTCTTCATCTGGAGGCTGGATCAATGATTAGATATTGCCAGCGTATTCAACTGAAGTGTGCTGTGCAATGACCCTCTACTACATAACTTCGGTTTAGGGGCCTGGGTTTTTCTCTGCTGGGAGTCATAATTGTTTATCAGGTGTAAATAATCATCGTATCTTTTTATTTATTAGCAGCATGTTTATGGTAGGGATGTCAATGGTAGTGTCCTGGATCAAGTTTTATCATGACTGTCATATTGTACGGCTGCTAATAAGTTCTCTTTAGATGTTAAATTAATGTAATTCCTTAAATCTGGTTGTTTTTGTGGATATCAATATTTTTACCATGTCAACCCTCAATGATTTTTCCAGATTTTTAGTGATTGGGTTGAACAATACACTAATAAATTTATAAAAGAAATTGATCGTAATGTAAGATGTAAGATTAATCATCTAATATTTGGCAAAATTGCATGTGAAATAAGTGGAGATCATTTCATGCATGACTAAGCTCTATAAGATAACCTTGAAACTTTCATGCATGACTATGCTCTATAAGATAGAATGCGGCAATGCACGATATTGTTGACATCTTGATTTATTGATTGCTAGGGTTTATATGTTAGTTATTTATTGAGTGCTAGGTGATTAATTATCTAATATTTGGCAAAATTTTGCCAGATAAATCCTACTACGTACATTAAGTACATAGTAGTATGTGTTTTTTTTATTGTATATAACGCGTTTACTTTGTAGGCGAAAGAATGAAAGGTAGGCATGAGATCATGAACAGAAGTTGGAAAATGGAATTAAAAGATCAAATCACAACTACACAATTAGATACTTCGATTTTTGATGAACCTAAAATCTTAAAACCATAATTCATCCTCTAATCACCAACTCTTTCAAATACTTGCCAAAATCAATAATGTCTTGAGTTGCTTTAACATCTACCTCATTTCTCATTAATTGAGGGAAGAACAACCAAAAGCCCGTTATCATCACAAACCCAACTGTTAATGGGCCAGGAACAGCCCAATGCAACTTCCACTTCCGGCCCAAACCTCTCTTCACACCCATCTCCAACACCACACACACACCATGCAACACAAAGAACCACGTGACTTCCCACGTGGGAGTCACTCGTGTTGCATAGTAATAAACCAACTCATGCATCAACCCTGAAACAACAAATGAAGCCATGACACCTGCCACTTGGGCCCACTTTTGACCAGCAAACTTCACAACCGTTGACCTAACGGGTTTATATACAGTGTGACGCAGTATATCTGTTACCCTGAGGTTCCATCTCCGACCCCAAAAATCTTGTAGTGATGTTGACAAGTAAGGCTCATCGGACGGTGGTTCGAGCTCGATCCCAAGTGTGGACCCTACTAAAAAATCACACACCCCAAATGCAATATCAATAGCCAAATACATCAAACCACAAAAAGCCACCATGTTTTTATTGTACGAGTACACCACTTCTAAAATGACAAAAATAACCACCTTTGACCAAAAATTCAAGGGTAATACTACCTCCTTTTTGTTGGGTGAAATTACTAAATTACCCTCTTGACTTTTTGTTGAGGGGTTGACTTTCTTAATCTTGATGGGAAAAGCTGCAAGAAAAATGAATCTAAGAAGAGATGGTTGATCATCATTATCATCATATGATAAAGGGCCAAGATTGAAGGCGTACAATAAGAGTTTGAAGTTTGCGAGCCACACGATAAAACCCCCAAAGAGGATATTTGTAAGAGGTCTAGAGAGAGAAAGAGGGAGAAGAGTGAAGAGAGAGAAAATTGGTAAAAGAGAGATGAATCTAAGTATACCCTTTGGAATTTTAGAGGTTATGAAATAGGAGTAACAAAGTGATGCAAGGATTATTATCCATGCTTTTATGAATTTCTTGCCTTCGTCTTCTTCCATTTTTATGAAATAACTAAAAATTTATGGGTTTTTAGAAAGTTTTAGTTAGAATGTATGTTAGTTTTATACAAGTAGCTAAGCTTTGTGATCTAATGATCTAATTTTAAAAAGAAATATAATTAAATTGATAACTAAGTTAAAGTTGTTGGAGATTGTAATTATTTGATTAATTTAGTGATGGTACAAGCTGGCTTTCAACGTGTATGAAGCATATTGAGAGAATGACATTAATAAAACACTTGTTTCAAAATATTTAGGAAATTTTGTCAACAACTATCAATTTAAGCCTCTGTTTTGAAAACAACTATCTTTTAATTTTTTTTTAAAGCAGCTATCACAAACTTGTAAAAAGTTAGAGTAGCACTACCACTCTTAAATTTCTGACAAGAATCTCTAGTGAGTGGGTCCCACGAGTCATATTGAGAGAATGACATTAATAAAACACTTGTGTAAATGCAACATTTTAAAACCCAACAACAGAGATAAAAGTAAATATATTTACACTCTCTTTGTTTTTTAAATGCAACAATTTGACTTTTTGGGTTATCCCACGAGTCAAATTGTTGCATTTAAAAACAAAGAGAGTGTAAATATATTTACTTTTATATCTGTTGTTGGTTTGTTGCAGGGTTATGTGGTACTCCCTTAGTCCCATTAGTAATAGGTTTCATTTACACAAATTAATTGTAAGCCATAAGGTGATGTAGTTATTTATTGATTCAACTTCGAAAGTTTTTGATGTACCATATATTCATTGAGCAAAATGAGAATGCAATATAAGAGAATTAAAGGTATAAGTTCTTTTAACTCGTAATCAATAATTTTGCCAAACTTATTCATTTCATCTTTAAACTTGAATTCGAGACCGAGTGGTAGACAATTTCAAAAAAATCCGATCCTCAATAAATCAACAAGTATTATAACGGATGCAAGAAAGAACAAATATTGGATGTAAAATTGACAAGAAAAACACACACAGATTTACGTGGTTTACCAACAATGTGTTGGCTACGTCCACGAGCAGGCGAGAGTAATAGTTTTATTGATTTTGGGAAAACAGAATACAAATTTAGAACAAATTTGAGACCAATCACAGAAAATAGATTGATTGTCTCTCGGATTTCTAATGTTATCTCTCTTAGATTTCACAGATGAGAAATACACAAAAGAATCTTAGATTTCTGAATAACCACTTGACTTATTCGGTTAGGAGTAACTCTAAGGGGTATATATAGAATTGTCCAAAACAGAAACTGATTTGGGCCAAAACCCAATTAATAACCACATGGACCAAAATCACACGACCGTGTGACATGTCTTGTAGTAGCAGAACTACACGACCATGTACCAAGAACCATATGGTCATGTATATTGAAGAGTACATAGTAACAATAATTACACGATCGTATACAATGAACTACACGTGTACGTTCTCGGTCACCTATTCAAGGCATATTTCTTACAACAAGAAAGATCATTTAGATTTTATGATCCACATCCAACAAATTCCTTTCGACATCTTGGAATTGCTCTTTCAATAACCATTCACAAAATCACAAATGTAACTTCAAATGAATCAATCTCTAGAGAAAAAAATAATTTGCATATGTTCAAATCAAATTCATCACTCTTACTAAAAATAAAAATGCACCAAAAAAAGGCATTTATATCAAACAGGCAACGATTCTACCAATGTACTTAAATTCTGTTCCATTGAATGTGATTTATAAACGAATAAATACATCTGTTAAGTGGATCAGACAAGGCAGCCAAAAATGTGGTAAAATTGAATAGAGTTTTATGACTAGTCTATATCGTATTAGTTACCCTCTCTCATCTTTTCATCTACCAAACAACCAACACAGTAAAAAAACTACTTTTTCCGTTTTTATTTAGTTGACGGCTTGACGCGTTCAATTTAGGCCCACATATTAAGGAGAGGAGAGAATGATAAAGCAAGCGGGGTACACTAGTAAATACAAGGTATAAAACTTACCCGAAAACAAAAAGTGTCAACTAAAAATAATCTTCCTAAAAAGGAATACGTGTTAACTAGAAAAAAAACGGAGGTAACTATATCAATTAAAATGAAAAGTGAAATGTCAGTATGTCACTAGTTGAAGACATAAACTCTAAACTAAACGCATTTAAGAACAATAAGACCATAACTAAAGCCATAATAGTTCACTTTATTTCCACTTAATTCAAGAAAAGCGAGTTATATATTTAGGCCTTGTTTGATTGAAAATATAGAATGGGGGAAATGAAAATTTATGGGATTTGATAAGTTGGATACTTGTTTGATTGACATACAAAAGAAAAAATGGAATTGCTAACCAAGCAAGTTTAGGTTAAAAATTTCCTAGAAATTTCATTAGGAAAATAACTTCTTATGAAATGCAATTATGTCCTACGTGAATTTTATTCCATATCAACCAAACGAGGCATTAGATTACAATTTTTTTTTTAGGGAAAGGCATTAGATTACATTTAATAAATTTAAATAAGATAAGTTAAGTTTTAACATGAAAATACAAAGGTTATTTGACATTCATTTACAACTAAAATAAATTTAAATTAACTCTTATAAGTAAGTTTAGAATAAAAATCAGGTAATATAGAATGTACAATAAGTGTGTGATTCATTTTTATGAAAGAACTTATTTTATATGCAACTCTATGGTTGTACGCATTATACTTACAATTCAACTCTCAAATGGTCAAAGTTAGGAAATTATGAAAAATTAAGCATCAAGCAATGTTTCTCCGTAGTAACAATTTAGATTTTTTTTTTTTTTTTTTTTTAAGTAAGAGTTAAAAATTAATGGAGAATTTTCATTTTAAAAAGTGTTACACTTAATAAAAATAGCCGATTTAGAAAAAGGGTTGCACTTAAATCGATGGGATGAAGTATTAGGTAGATTTTCAATAACATATGAATGGTGGTTGGGTTGTATATCTAGAGAGGTCCTCTATATATAAGCTACTAGGTCTATGACTATGACTTTTTCTAAGAGTATATGACATATACATCCTTTGTTAGTTTGTTACACTACAAAACCAAACACATAGTACAAGGATAGAAACTAAGTATATTGGCAACCAAAAAAAAAAAAAAAAACCATCACAAACTTCAAACAAATCCCAAAAAAATGGGAGAAGCACAAAAATTCTTCCAATCTTGCTTAATAATTTTAGCATCACTTTGCTACTCTTACTTGATACCTTCAAAGCTTCCCAAAGGCAAAATTAGGTTATTTTCTCTCTTACCAATTTTCTCTCTATTCATAATTCTCCCACTTTCTCTTTCTAGACCAATTCCTATCACAATAATTAGTTGGTTTATTACTTGGCTTGCTACCTCAAAGCTTCTTCTTTTTGCTTTCAATCTCGGCCCATTATCGGCCCAAAACTCTTTAATTAATTTTATTTTAATTGCTGCATTACCAATTAAAATTAAGGAAAAAGATCCTCTACATCACACCCAACACACTAGAATATTACCCCCTGATAATTGGTTAAGATCTTTCTTTTTTACCCTTTTTGTAATAATTTATGACCGTACAAAAAGTTGGGTTATGTTTGGATTTGCATTATTTCTTTTTATTGATTTATGTTTTGCACTTTGTGCTTTCATTGTGGGGCCCCTAGGGTTAGAGCTTGAAGAGCCGTCCGATGAGCCTTACGCGTCATCATCTCTTCAAGACTTTTGGGGTCGGAGGTGGAACCGCATGATATCAGATACACTGCGTCACACTGTATATAAACCCGTTAGGTCAACTTTTGTTGATTTGGTGGGCCTTAAATGGGCCCAAGTGATGGGTACAATGGCGACGTTTTTTGTATCTGGGCTTGTCCATGAAGTTATGATCTTTAATGTGACCCGGGTTTGGCCCAATTGGGAGGTCACGTGCTACTTCTTGTTGCATGGGGTGTGTGTGGTTTTGGAGATGGCTGTTAAGAGGGAATTGGGCTGGAAGTTGAATTTGCATTGGGCCGTTTCAGGCCCATTAACAGTTGGGTTTGTGTTGATTACGGGTTATTGGTTGTTCTTCCCTACACTTTGGAGGAGCCATGTTGATTCTGAGTCTATTGAGGATATCAAAGTATTTGCCAAGAATTTGAAGGATATTATTGTACGAAGTATAAATTAATTAGAAGATTTTATATTATAAGTGAAATTAGAACTCTAAATTTACTTTACGGTTGGTATTAGATCTTATTTTAGGAGATAATTGAATGACGGATTGGTATAAATATGTAGTTACTATGTTCGAAGATGTTTTATTTATCAACGAGATTTACTAATTGAGTGTATTATGTAGCACTCTTGCACTTGTACTGTTTTTTATGGTTCTCTATTTATTGCTTCCATTAACCAACTACAAAGTACAACTAGTAGTTCAATACCAGTACAAGTAGTATTATTGTTCATTAAGTATATAGTTAAGAATTACGAAAATAAAAATTGTATTTCCTCCGTGGCTTCGTCCCATAATGTCTGGTCCATTTTTATTCTTAGTCTGTTTAGATTGTTTTAAAGTTTACGCCTTACTACTTTTGATTATAGAGGAGTTTACATTTATAACTATTACATTTAATCCAACCACTTTTCTCCCTCATCAATTTCCATCCACCGAAAAAAAAAAAAAAAAGACTTAACCCTAGGAATTTCTCCTTACCCCCAAGCATCTTTATTATTTGATAAGATTCGAACTCTAGAACTCTAATGAGCTAACACTTTGTTAGTTTCCCTGGGAAAATTGGCCATGACAAATACCGTGTGTCTGTCAAGCATTATTCATTGACTTTGCCCATGACTGGAGCAACAACTTGAGTTTTTAATCAGACAAATCAAAGATTCAAAATGGAAGAGGACAATTCATGTAATATAAAAACTTAGATTAAAGGAGTGATTGATTAGATCCAATCCAGTAATACTAGTAACAAACTACAGTATGAAACTATGATGTACAAAAACTCTGTTTAGGGTCAACATTTCTGTTTCCGATGCCCTTTTTATTTCTCAAAATTTTAAAAGGGCAAACTACACTTTATTATACTCTTATTTAAAAAGTTAACGTTATAAAGACAACCTATATAATATACCAACGTGGTCAACTAGACGGTGATTCAATCAACTGTACAGAATATATATTTTTACAGATTGACATTTTCAACAATCATTCCATTTCTATTGTACAAATCTGAAATTTCTGCAAATTCAATTCCAAAAAAAAAAACTCAAAACTGATCTTAAAAAACATGGAAGAACAAGAAAGCGGGGAAATTAAGGCATTAATTAAGGTATGGTTTAAGGTATTAATCTCTCTAATTTATACATATTTCATAGTTTCAAAGCTTCCAAAAGGTAAAATCAGATTAATTTCTTTATTACCAATTTTCTCTGTTTTCACTGTTTGGATTTCTTTCTTTTGAGAATAAAGGCATTAAGGCCTATATTATAGCTTTGTGCAAAATTGTACTCTCCCATATTCTTTATCTACCCCAACAACAGCAGGTTTAACTGGTTTTTTCATTACTTGGCTTGCTAATTTCAAGTTAATCCTGTTTTCCTTTAATCTTGGTCCATTAACCCATGATTTACCTTCTAAATCATTCTTTAATTTCATCTTAATTGCTGCTTTTCCTATCAAGATCAAGAAGATAGGAAAAGACCCTTTTACCCCTACTCAAAAATTGCCCCTTAGTTTGGCGTCGAAGATTTTGATTTATTCATTGATTATTGTCGCGGGGTATTTTAGTAACTACAACAAGAGTTTGCACCCTAATGTTCTTTTAGGGGTGTATTGTTGTATAGTGTACTTAAATTTGGAGGTGTTTGTAATAAAATGGTGGGGTCCATTCTAGGGTTGGAGCTATCTCCACCGTTCGATGAGCCTTACTTATCGACATCGTTGCAAGATTTTTGGGGCCGAAGGTGGAACCTCATGGTATCAGATGTACTGCGTCACACTGTATATTTTCCAGTAAGGGCATTTTGGGAAATTCACATCGGGAAGAGGTGGGCCCAAGTTGTGGCTACTATGGGGCTGCTTTCGTGGTGTCTGGGTTGATGCATGAGTTGTTGTTCTTCTACATTACGCGTGCGAGTCCCACGTGGGAAGTCACGTGCTTCTTCTTGCTTCATGGGGTGTGCTTGGTTGTTGAGATTGGGCTGAAAAGAGGTTTGGGCTTTGGAGAGTTACATTGGGCCTTGGCTGGTCCATTAACTGTTGGATTTGTGATGGTAACTGGATTTTGGTTGTTTTTTCCCCAATTTGTTAGAAACAAAATTGATGTTAGCTCTCTTGAGGAAGTCAAAGCTGTTTGTAGGTTTCTCAAAGGAATGTTACCATTAGCTTAATTGATTTTGGTATTGAAGAATACAATTTATTACCATTTTCTTTTCGATTGAGCTATTTGTGAAAGTTTTTTAAACGATGTATTGATCACTAGTGACTTTGTTCTATCCTCTTCCATGTTGAGTATACAATGTTTATATGCAAGAGAAACTTTAATTTTGGGATTTATTGATGCTAAGAACAAGATCGATAATACTACAAGTTCATGGTCTCAGGGATTATTTATGATCTTTCTCTTTACATAATATTATTCCTGATATTCACATTCTCACCCCATACTGTTGCCCTACTAAGATCCGTAATATGCGTTTCCAAACTTATCAGGAAGCTTAACTTTTACGAAGGCAATATATTTTATAATCTCATCTAATAGTGAAATTTGCTCTTTACATTTCCCCATATGTTTTCTCTACTTACCTTACACTAAATGAACGTATATTACTTCCTCAAAAATCCCGTTAAAAAAAAAATAAGGAGGTGCTTAATTATTTATTTGGGATTTAAATTATTTTCATGGTTGGAACACAAACAAATCATCACTTATTAATCTGAAATTTGCACAATTAATTTATAAAGAGGTTTGTTATGTTCGTTTATGCATGGAAAACACGTTTCCTTTGCTTATAAAATGATCTACCCTAGCACTCACTTTACATGACCAAGTAAAAACACAACTCTCATTTGTAAAGTTAGTAATCCAACTTACGTGATTGTTTTAGGTTTCATGTAATTGATTCTAACAAAAACCATCACTAAATTTACCAATTGTTCATTAGTCCCTAAAATTAGGTTATCATAATTGAAAATCTATAGGAGCATTTTAGGGTTGCTAAATTATTTTTAAGAAAAAATCAATACCAAAAATCCAAAAAAGGAGAGTGGAAACAAAATCAAGCAACCAACTATAATCCAAACATAGGTTAAATGGAGGGTGAAATCAAGTCATTTCTTCGGGCATGGTCAATACTACTATCATCTTTATGCTATTGCTACTTTATAGCTTTCAAGATCCCAAAGGGAAAGTTAAGGTTTATCTTTTTACTTCCATGTTTCTTTCTATTCACCATTTTCCCCCTCTCTTTTTCCTCCGTAATCCTTAAAGGAATTATTTCGTATTTTATCACATACGTAGGAAACTTTAAACTACTCTTATTTTCATATGACCTCGGCCCATTGTCTGATTGTCTACATAATCCTACCACTAAACTTGACAAACAGAAAGGCGATCCACCCATAAAAATAACCTCTCTGATTAGGTTTATATTGGTTGCTATTTTTCCGATGAAAATCAAAGATCCAATTTCCAAAAAACAAAAAACCAAGAAAGTAATACCCCTAACTATATGGCATGAGGCCTTGCTTTTCTCAATTCTCTCAACTTATTATTATGCTTACAAAAGAAAACTACACTCATGTGTTATTTGGATAAGTTATTGTGGCATAATGTACTTATTCCTTGATGTAATTGTGGTAATATGCAACAAGTTAGCAAAGGTCATCTTAGACGTGGAGCTACATCCGCCGTTCGATGAGCCTTACTTGTCAACTTCACTCCAAGATTTTTGGAGTCGAAGGTGGAATCTCATGGTAACAGATGTACTACGACACACCATATATGTACCCATGAGGGTATTTTTGTCCAAAGATAATGTACGTCAACAAAAGGTCTTGATTCCTTCTGTTATGACTGTTTTTCTAGTATCTGGTCTAATACACGAACTAATCTTTTACTACTTAACATTTGTGAACCCCACGTGGGAGGTCACGTGCTTTTTTGGGCTAAATGGGATTTTAGTTATTTTGGAGAGCTATTTGAAGAGGAATTTGGGCCGTAAGTTAAGGTTGCATTGGGCTTTAAGTGGCCCATTAAGCCTTGGTCTAGTAATGGGTACAGGATATCTATTGTTCTTTCCACCATTTTTAAGGAATCAAGTTGATGTAAGAATTGCTGAGGAGGCTAAGGCATTGTTTAAGTTTATTGGATCACAATTATTTTAAATGAAATCTTGTAATATTATTTTTTTAATTTCATTATTTATTTACTCAATGTATGATAATTTAATTTGGATTATGTCTTTGTTAGATATCATATTATTTGTAATTTGATTGTTTTCTCCTTATGATTTATAAAAATTGAGTTACTAATAGTTACTTTACAATTTTTGCACGGAATGTAAATATATGGGTAACTTTGTAATGTACAATAATATAGAACAAACCACCGAGACAATCAAAACTAGTGTATTTCAAAATTGCTAGTATATTTTTTCTAACAGGGCGAAGGAAGCTTTTCGATAAAGTGTAAAATAGTGAAATACTCTTATTTACCGCTAGTAGCAATTTAAAATATATCACCTCAAATAGATCACCTCATTGGGAAGAAACATTACAATACTCCATATATATGATTTTTTTTTTCTTATAATGATTAGCTTACAAATGATGTAGAAGTTTACTCATTATCACTTTTAAATAGTACCTAGATTTCAAATGAAAATAACCTTTTGGAAATGGAGTGCGTACTATATATTATTGTTATTGGTTAGTTCACATTGTGACAAAGTTAGACAAATCCGACCAAAATATTACTCCCTCTATTATGCTTTAAATTAATAAATTATATCTCGCTCTACTTAATAATGTATCCTTAAATGAAATTACAAATTGAAATATATTCTAACAAAATCTCAGGTGATAATGTTTTGTAGTTATGTAAATTTTATAGTGCCGCCATGAACATAAATATAGGTCTAAGGGACTCCAATGTTAAGAAAGTGAAAGCTCGATCATGGCTTGACTCTTGAATGAAACTGAAAAACTTAGGAAATTTAAATGCTTTTTTTTTTTTTTTTTAACCAATGGCTAGTTAAGTGGTTATTGATATTCAACTTGTTCAAATTCTACCTTGAAGCAATTGTGCGTGTTACATTCATAATAACTTTATATTCCTTATTTCTTTAAGCCTTCAAATACGTAGTATTTACTAATTAATCATTTTATACTATATAGAGCTTTGCAATCATATTACACTATATAAAAATACCATTAATTGGTACGTATTTATTTGTTAAAATAAAAGTACATATTATTAAAACTAATAAAAAAATAAAAGTACATATTATTAATACATATTTATATATATACTAGTTTTGTGCCCGGGTGATGCCCAGATTGTAAATAGATATCTACGTTATTAAATTTTTTAGTTTAATTTGAATGTTAAAAAAGGTCTTATAATCCCTTTTGATAATGCTAGATATTTAGACATATAATAATAGTACTTTTTGTAGTTTTGTTTATAAATAGATATCTATGTTATTATATACTTGAAATTATTTTTTATTGAACTTAGATTATTTTTATTGAACTGAAAATATTCAATTTTTACCAAACTAAAATTATTTTTACTAATTAAAACTTATTATCTCTATTATTTTTAAAAATAAATTAAATATATCATAAAGAATCTTACTTTAAAACAAATTTTATGATGGAATTAGAACTGAGTTATAGGATTTTTAATAAAAGTTATGATTAATTTTGTATATGTGAAATATTAGAAGTATATCAATAATAAAACTCTATACAACATTTTTATCTTAAGAAAACTATCCAAAGTTCTCTTTCTTGCCATAATATGTGTCACAATAATATCCATTTATCGCCTACGTGGCTCAACTTGGCGAAAAACTGAAATGACAAATGTCGATGTCTCGTGGCCTGACTACGAGATCGACTTTATTTATTAGTGATATAATATCATTTTCTTTATATGACACTTAGATTTCTTATCTTAACATCAAGTTTACATGATCAAACTAGTTACAAGGACAATCCCTCTCTCTCTCATATGAATTGAAGTAAGCTAAAAAAGAAATGCACATACAAACACACGCCTTCATAGACACCTTTTGCAAGGCCAACATTTCATGCGTGAATAAAACCGATTCTAAGGAAGAAATAGGAGTAGGAAACACGTACAAGAACATAACACACAAGCTAAAATTAAAAGTATACTAAACTAAATCAATTATAAATTATACACTTGTACATCTTTGACGTCTAATTTTGTCATACATTTTTAAATTTATACCAATCATAAAAAACAAAAAACATTAAGATGACAAACAAGCCCAAATTTAAAAGAAATAAAGAACCCAATGATGGTAGAAAGTGAAGCAAAGGCATTGCTCCAATTGTGGTCAATAGTATTAGCTTCTCTTTGCTATTGCTATTTTATTGTACCCAAAATTCCCAAAGGTGAACTTAGGTTTTTCTCTCTTCTTCCAATCTTCACCCTTTTTACCATATTACCACTTACTCTCTCCTCAGTGCTCCCCGCCGGAATCACTATTTTCTTTATTACATGGCTCGCTAACTTCAAACTTCTCTTATACTCTTTCAATCTTGGCCCTTTATCATCTGCTCACTTATCATTGGTTAATTTTATACTAATTTCTGCTTTTCCCATTAAAATTAAAAATAACTACCCATCGTCTAAAATTAGAAAACTCGTTATACTTTTCCTATCAAACTCCTGGTGGAAGATAGTAATTTCCACCGTTATTTGTGACATCTACAAAGAAATGTTAAATCGAGGTTTGCTCTTTGTAATGCATGGTTGTATGTTATATTTACTCATTGATGTTTTTATGGGGATTGTCAATAAAATTGTGGGGTCCATCATGGGTGAGGAGCTACTTCCACCGTCCAATGAGCCTTACTTGTCAACATCTCTCGGTGATTTTTGGGGGAAGAGGTCGAACCTCATCGTAACAGATATGCTGCGCCACACTGTATATTTTCCGACTAGAGCATTTTTGACTAACTATTTGGGCCTCTTTATCTGGTGTGATGGCGGCATTTCTGGTGTCTGGGCTAATGCATGAGCTAATTTTTTGTTATTTGGCACGTGTGAGTCCCTCGTGGGAAGTTACATGGTTTTTTGTGTTGCATGGGCTTTGTGTGTTATTGGAGTTTTTGTTGAAGAAACTTTTGGGCCAAAAGTTGGGCTTACATTGGGCTATAACTGGGCCGTTGACGGTTGGGTTTGTTATGGGTACTGGATATTGGTGGTTCTTCCCACCACTTGCAAGGAACCAACTTGATACTAGAGCTATAGAGGAAGTTATGACATTGTATGAGTTTATTAAGGGATCATTCAAAATTAGCAAGAATTTTTATTTTTCCTTTCCACTTAATAGAGTTGAGGGTCCAAACATGTTGTACATTTGTAGTGGGGGTTACTTAGCTTGAAGGCTATAAACCAAGTTTGAAGAGTCTGTGTAGATTAATTTTATATATTATAGTTAAGATGAAGGGTCTTATCGGACCAAAATCTCTCACGGGTCAGCCCAACATGGGTTAATGAGCTACACAATTTGTGGGGGGGGGGGGGGGAGGTAAGTGAATCCCCTCCCTCAAATTGTCACTATGGAGTTGGGATTGAAAAATGTACTTTCCTATTTACTAGACTAAGTTTATTGGGTGATGTGGCATAATGAGGGGATTACATGACACATAAAAGTTCTTAAAAATATTTATTAATATATTAGTATAGATGAGAAGGGGAAGTTGAGGGAGAAAGATGCTTCGTGGGGGATAAGACTAGATTAAGGGGCAGAGAAGATAATAATAAAGAAAGAAAATCACAAGCAAGCCAACAATGGAAGTAGTGAATGTATTTTTTCACAAAATTTCCACAAATAAATTGACTAGCTACACACAAAATTTTATAAGTTTCACAATGTCTTGAACCAACACTTTCGTAAAAAAACAAAAAGAAGACTTTGAAAAGTAAACAATGCCCGGTATATTGTTTTGCAACCTTAAATTTTAATGATATATTTTGTGTATTATTATAAGCATATGTAATATCATTATACTCGTAATGACAATATTAAATATCACGTGTATATACTATATGATGTACTCTTTATATATTCATTTGACCCATTAAAAAGATTGTTATAATATATTAATATCATGTCACCTTGTAAAGATACTATCTACTTAACTGGTAGTATCTTATACATATAGTGCTGTCAAATTTCAAACCGAAACCGTTTAACTGCCCGAATCCAACCGACCCAAATGAGAACCGAACCGATTAAAAATCGTTTCTTTGAAACCGAAAACCGACCCGAACCGCATTTTAGTAAATTCGAAACCGAACCAATCCGTGTAATGTTAAACCGTTTAAGAACCGAACATGTTAACAAATCGAACTAAATATAAACCGAACTGAAAGAAAACCGAACTGAAAAAGAATCGAACCGTATCTAACTCGAAACCGATTCCAACCCAAAACCGTTTGAACTGGCATAAAAACCGCTTACACCGAACTGTTAGCAAACTGCTACTCGTTTGCACCGAACCATTTAAAAACCGAACTGATTGTAAACCGAACTGCTTATAAACCGAACCGTTTATGAACCGAACCGTTTATGAACCGAACTGCTTATAAACCGAACTGTTTATGAACCAAACCGCTTATAAATCGAACCGTTTACAAGCTTTTTTTGTATGTAATAATAAATTTTTTTTTTTGGTGCACTTTTTTATGTAATTATATGGATTAAGTATTAGAAATCTTAGAATATATTTAGCATATATTCCATACTTATCAATTTTTCTTGAGACCATATACTTATCATATTAATTGTATATATCTTAGTAACTTAGTTAATACTAAATTCCCTTAGAAATAGCACTTCGTTAGCTAATCCGTGAGTATTGACTTTAATTTGGTTTTTGGGGAATAATCTGCAATTTTGGTTTTTTGGGAAATAACCTACAATTTTTTGGCCTTTTGGGCCTTATTCATCAACATAGCAGTATTCCAGTAGCATAATAGGATTAATAGCATTAACAAGTTATAAAACTTCTAATTCAACAAGTTTCAACTTAACAAAACCAAAACAAACTAATCCAATCCATACACATAATTAAACAATTTTTAACAACAAAGTAACAAAATCAAACCAACCAATCCATACAAACAAGTTTTAACAACAGAATTGTACAAGTTTTTAGCATAACAAGATTAACACCAGCACCACAGTCTGCAGCAGAATGGCAGATCAGCAGCACTGCAGACTGCAGCAGCAAA